AAACTATGGGAAAGTTTAATAATATTTGTGAAGAGTTGATTTATGAAGCTAATAGTAACTGTTACGTTCTAATAAGGCAGAAAATATTTTCTGATAAATATTTCCTGTGTTTTGAGGGGAAATATTTCTAACTCTCACGAGAAAATATCCTCATTTTCTGCTTGTGATCTGAAAACAAATTATATGGAGGTATATATGAATAACAAATTATATGGAGAGATATATCAATAATCTAAAGACTCTAGCAGATCCTACTGCAGAACTCCCGTTATTATTCGAACCACAGTAATTGGAACATATTTTGGGAGGGCAAAAACAGATAAAGGCCAAGATTGAAAAGAAAGTGTCTTTTTTATACAAATGTTAAATATTTAATCTCCGAGACAAATCTGTTAAACTTAATTTAATGAATTTATGCTACAATTTTCTGTCTTTGCCATTCTTTTTACTTACTTTCTGAGCTTAAGATAATATTCCCATTTCTACAGATTTCCGAACTGGACAAAATTCGTTTGGATAATTAGATTTCTATTGTACTATAGTTTTTTCTAGAGGAAATGTGGTGGCCAACATTTCTTCAAAAAAACTCCCGATAGAACCCCGATAAAACATTTCTACAATGCAAAGCGTCGAGGGCGTGGAAGAAGGGCGGGGAGGGGAGGGGAGGGGTGGGCGTATCTCCTACCTACCTCACCTGTGGTGGCCACGTATCCCGAGATGCCGACGTGGATGGGGAAGCGGCTCTCGAACGGGCTGCAACACCAGCACGCGCGCCCCACACGTCACTCGTCGCGCCTCGGCGCCCGCCGCTCGCTCACTCACTCAGCGCCCGCGCAGCGCCTCTGCCCCCACCGCGCCCTCGCACGCGCCCCCGGCAGCCTCGCAGCCCCGAAGGGCGACGCGAAGACGCCTCGCGACGGGATGGGTGAAACATACCCCGATTCAAACGCAGTTGCTAGCACGTTCTTCAAGAAAAGGACTTAGTCACCTGCATCTCCTTGGAAAGGACGGCAAAAGCAGAATATTTGTCCCATACCCTTGCCGAAGTTAAAAAATAAAAATATTTATTAACAAAAAATTGCAGAAAATGATTTTAATATATTGTTAAATATATTTAGTATTAGTTTTAACTTAAAAAAATATTTCAAAAATAATGGCGCAATTTATTTTGGGGGCCATTATTGACCATCCTCGTTGGTGATAGCGTAGGCTTCCGTGGTCAGTCAAGTATCTTCTTAGACCTTGAGGTCACGAGCTGGAAGGAGAGGTGGATATTGTCAACCAATCGGCAGCTCGAAAATGTAAGTCGTAACGAAGCTCCCGATTGGAGACAGTGTATCCCTCTCCTTCTAGCTCGAGACCTGGATGGGCCACTGTGTTTAAATCGGAGTATAATTGAAGTTATCGTAGTCGAATTAGATTTATTCAGAGAATCGGCTTTCGATGGGTTTGTCGTCGTCCGTCTCGCCTCGCAGACGGTGCCTCCCGACGTTGGCTACCTGTAGCGAGACTGATGATGACGGCAAAGTCGTCGAAAGCCGGCTTTATTAATAGAATAATCTAATTTGACAAGGATAACTGCAATTATTTCATCCTTTAATTATGTCAACAGTACATCATCATTCCCCGAATTCGGAATACAATGCCGCGGAAAGATCCACACCCATTTAACAGTCTCATACAAATATCATTCCGATTCTGGAGGAACAGCAACGAAGACCTACTTGGATGTGTGGGAGACGCCGCATCCTAGAAATAGATGCGAACGTTTCGGCGGTCATGCTGTGACCTTCCTCAAAGCAAAATGCATTTTTTGTGGCATTTTGCCCTGAGGAAGGTCGCAGAATGTCGACCGAAACGTTGACACCTGCGCCTAGGACACGACGTCCCACGGACAGCCAAGTAGATACTGACTCCGACCGCGGGAGCCTACGCTTTGATCATCGAGGAAGGTCAACACAGCCCCCCCTCCCCCAGAATAAATTTCGCCATTATTTTTTCAATAAGATTAAAAAATTTAAACTAATAATAAATATATTTAACAATATAATAAAATCATTTTCTGCAAAGTTTTGTTTAAATATTTTTATTTTTTTTTAACTTCGGCAAGGGTATGGGACAAATATTTTGAACATATACTGCTATTGCCGTCCTTTCCAAGGAGACACAGATGGCTACGTCCTTTTCTTGAAGAACTTGCTCAATTTTCATCCTGTTGTTCCCAATGCACAACTGTTCTCTACATTGACAGATATTACAATAGGATTTTAACGTGCTTAGCGTATGCCTGCCTGTACGAGATACTCGGAAAGCGATTAAGCATGGTGAAGGTTCCTAATTGTATCATAACTAATAGAATTGATATACGAAGTCATCACAAACCACTAGGAAAGCATTTATAATTAAAGTCCTAAATGATAAAACAGGACATCATTACATAAACAAAGATAATGGGTAGAACTAGACTGGTACTCATCATTGACAACAATGTATGCAACTATTAAGAGATGGGTTTTGGGCGGGAAATTGAAAAGAAATGTAATGATTTGTAGACTTTGTTTTACGACGCTGGAATATACACAAATTAGGCTGTGAAAGAGTGGTTTGTCATTTTGTGGTAGGAATACTAGCGAATATTAGTAAAGCTTTCTGTACCCATTTCTCATATGTACTTGCGAGTGAAAAAAATAAGGATTCTAAATAAAACAATTAATAGTTCACAAACATCTAGACACACTTACTCTTCCGAAGATGAGAATGTATTGAAATGAACGGTGGTCGTCGAACAAATTACAAAGTGGGAAAATTAGCTAAACATATCCTAGAAATTTGTTTCATCACATGAATGAGAAGAATAGAATGTAGAATGCTCAGAATCGTATTACAGAGAGTTTAAATTCTTTTCTCGAGCATGTAATGACACGAATCAATTATTCAGACTTCCGATCTTATTTGTCATCAGGTGAACCTTGTTAATACTTGTGTTAAAAAAAGTTGACACGTGTGCAATATCTTAACCCAAAATGGTGCTTATAATTCAGTCGAAATTTCCGTATCACGGTATTATCTGTCAAATAAATGAAATACAGATAATGTCTCTGCATACACGATTAATCCTTTAGGTGAAAAAGAGCGACGGTATTATAGATGATTTGGCAACCCTTTAAAGAACTTCCAGTAGGCATTCGAAATTATTAAGATTGTATTGAATTAGTTCACATATGTGATTAAAATGCCAAACAAAAATACTTGCTTATCTACCGCGCTTCCAAGTGTTGTGATAGAAGAGTACATTAAACAAGTGTCAAAGGAATTACCCCATTTACAAATTTCGTGAAACTAATTTCAAAAGCATGCATACAAATACTTATTTAACCACGTAAAAACTAATTGCCTGGTACGACAACTAACAACGGACAATTCGTACGGAATTTTTCGGTAGGTATATGACTACTCAACAAATTATGAAAAGAAAATGTTTGAATACACACTGTCACAACGTTGGTTAAACATTTATACCATGCTTCTCGAAGTTGTATATAAAAACTATATTGCTAGGAAAAGCATAATTGCCTGAAAATGCATTTCTGGATACGATAACTGCTGGATATGTGAGACTACCAATTTTTTCCCCAAACGTATCTTTAATCAAAACAATTACTTGCATAATATTGGACTTTCCATACAAGCGTCAAGAATGAAACAAATTAATTGCATTTGCACCTTATTAAATTACCATTGCGTATTCAACACACTCATTTTAGAGACCCTCACCCTTTTATTCACTTCTATGAATTCAAGTCCTTCCTTTCAAACTTCACGTCCATCATTCCCATTCTTTCTGTGGAAAGAAAACTCTCCAGGGAGATGTAAATTCTGAGACGTTGTAGTCAGGCGCGGTCGGGCGCAGCTCGTACTAATCCCGGGAGCAAACAGCGCAGCGCAGCGCAGCGTGTCGGGGCGGAGCGGAGCGGAGCGCGGCGGAGCTGGGCGCGGGGGCCGGGGCAGTGGCACTCACCTGGTGGGCGCGTCGCGCTCCTCCGCCTCGACGTCGCTCGCCTCGAAGTCGAAGACTCGCGAGAAGCTGCCCCTCGACGCCCGGTGCACCAGCAACACCTGCGGCACACAGCACACACGCACATGGCGACACGCCCACCAGCGAGCACAAGAGCGCGCACAGACACAACTACGTGCACTGGTACAAGAACGCGCACTGGCACAGCTACGTGCACTGGCACAGCTACGTGCACTGGCACAGCTACGCGCACTGGCACAGCTACGTGCACTGGCACAGCTACGTGCACTGGCACAGCTACGTGCACTGGCACAGCTACGTGCACTGGCACAAACTTAACTTCCTAAAATATAACTTATATTAGTAATTAAAAAAAGAGAAACTTGCACGAGTACGAGCACTTGCATAAGCGATCGAACTTGCACCAGCACATATATTCGCTCACGCAGACATGCATGTACATACGTACGTATATGCAGCAAAGGCACACATCAACATGCACACATCAACATGCACACGCACGCACATGTATGCAAACTCATACACATATGTGCGTGGATACACGCAATTATGGACACTCACAAACGCCCATGCATGTGTATACGTAAGCACGCGCATACGCATGTACTCGGGCGCGCACGCGCTCACACACACACACACACACATCTCATGTATATTTCATAAATTCATTAATACCAAAGATATTACAATACAAATGAGCATCGGAATATGTTCTTCTAATTCTGATTGCCTTGCCACTTACATGGAAACGTTTGTATTTACCTGTGTCTTTGGACGGCATAAGGTATCATCAACTCAATTCGATTGTCCTCCTGGACAAACATCAGGAATTAATTTTGGTTCGTCGCATTCATCGAAAAATTTTGCGTTTCACATCACGTGCATTTGTGTTTCGTACAGGGCTGAATTAGCTATTTTTCGTAATATGCGTATTCAACTTTATGGTAATACCGTGAGTGCCTTAGAAATTGTGGATAAAACCCCGATTCGCGAAACGACTAAGGAATTTATCTGAGAATTTCCAAAGCACGAGTGGTATTTATAGGACTATTCCACGAATAAAATTGTGTCCATCAGAGTTCCGTGCGATATATTGACAATTACCGAAAGCATGTTAAAATTAACGAGGTTATGTTATTGTACATACGCGATTTATTGCACATCAACACAGCGATCGATACGTACATACCGCCTCCTAAGATACAATAGACGAGTCGCAGCTAATTATTGGCTAGTAGGAAGGAGCGGTAAGAAAAATCGAATAGAAAAAGCGATAATTTCTTTTGAGACTTCGCCCTCATTGAGTCATTTGATTTGTATAGTTAAATACTATTGGTTTTAATTTCACGAGTGTAGTCGTCAATATTCAAAGATCGCTATCGGTTATTTCATCATTAGGGTCATTAATATCAGAAAAGGAAATTCACGTGTCTGGTTACAATCTGTTTATATATACACAAATCATGGAAATTATTAACGGAAAAGAATACATGTCTATGTACTATTATGTATTGTTCAGCAATTTTTCAACCAACCCGAGTGAATCGTTCCATAGGTTGATTAATGTGACCATGAAAAGAGAAAGAATTTAGCCACTGAATGTTGATCCAAAAGAAGGAATTTATTGTGAGTATTGTGTTAATGTCTCTCACAATGATAACGAGTAAAATTTCAATAGACCCCTTGATACATTCTAATTTCTTTGATTTATCATGATCCACTTATTTTACAAAAAATAACAAGCATTAATTGAGGATACTGGAAGCCTCTTCGGCGATGTCTCGCCTGATTAGGTCTAACTCCTTTTGAAGCAATTTCATTAGGCAATAAACAGAAAACACTACGAAGTCAATAGAGTACGCAATCGTCAAACATTTCAAACAATCAGAATGCCGGAAAATGCAACAAATGCTCACACAGAGATTGTTTAGACTGTAGAGACGATTTTCTGGCGCGAATGTCACTAACAAAGAAGTGGTAGGGTCAAATCAAATGCGAAAATGAAATATTTCTTACCGACGAGATCTGATATTACCAATATTTATATAACTCTTCATAATATTAATTGGGTTCCAAATTATATGGGTACAAACAATGCATTTAATCGTGTGTATGTGCGTTAAAAGTTGTTACCTCTGAATACAAGAATATTTTCACACATTTTAACCCTTATGTACGAACTTTCTGCCATACGATTAGCTATGTGGTAGACAAATGTAAAATATCTGAAGTCATATTCGTGAATAAGTTTGAAAATTCACCTGCTTTTAGCAGTATCTCCTGTCTTTCCATTTTCCATTACCATTGCTATGTCCCTTTTACTTATAAACTGTGCTAACAGAAAAACACCCTGAATGAAATATAAATATATGTGGCAATGAAGTATTGTGAGAATACACAATATCTAAACTAGAAGTTTAAATTCTGTAACTTCTTCAGAGTGAGGTCAGACCGACAAAAGACGACTCTCCCTTATACTTTCAAATGAAAAAGTTCAATAATAATATTTTTTGTTTATCTTCATATATTATTATTATTATTATTATTATTATTATTATTATTATTATTACTATTATTATTTGCGTATCGGCCATTTCTGACCACGCTACCCGTTCTCTCCTAAACCTAGTCACATTCTATCCCGGAGAGAGATTAACGTGTATCAATATAGAGATCAGCTTTTCGGCTGTATCCCTTGGTAATGCAAGGTTGTCAAGTCTTGAAGTAATGAATTATGAGGTGATAGGATGATGCTGAGAGGTGACCGTGGCGTTTTAGAACCCACCACCCAGGCATTAGCCTGTATGACCCAGGGAAACTACGAAAACCCCGGTCAGGATGGCTGGCTCGGGAATCGAACCTTGGTGGCCCGACTCTGCGCGCTACGCAACCCATCAAAAAGCTTTTTTTCGTGGAGAAGACACGCACTGTCTCTTTCGCTCGTCTATGTGAAACACTCAGACACTCGGGCACCGTCTGTGGGCCGAGGAGCTTAGAACAGGAAGTGCAGCCTACGCAGCTGCGCGTATCTCTCCCACGACACCGAATCAGACGTGATGATTTCGTGAAATATTCGCAGTTAATTTCGTAGAATGGAATGATCACTTTGCTATTATTCTGTGGAATACCGTTTCATAAATAAAAAAACAGAAATACATATGTTTTATTTCCATTTAATATTATTTGTAAACTCAGATATTTTGAAAAATATCGACGTTTTTATTAGTATGCATTTACTCATTTATTTTACATAATTGTTACAATTCAACAAGAGTAAACATTGTAAAGAACATTCTAAAACACCTCCTTTTAAATAGATACGTTTCGAGCTATAGTTGCAAAGAGATATGTATGACTTCTACTATTTACCATTTGACTACCTACCATGTAGCAAATCGTATGTAGGAAATTTCAACTTTTAATTCTTAAATTACTTCACTATTTTCAAGACTACTATTTGTTTTGAGCCTTTAATTTTTAATGAAGAAATAGTAATTGTGTACAAGTGTGTCACAAACCCCGTGCGTAAAAATATTCTCGATTGTAACCACATTTAATGTACTTACACGCGATTATATATGTTGCACATACTCATACAGTGTTGTAAAGGAATTTGGTAATATTATTAGTAGCTCTCCACTGTGAGAAATGTGCATGCAAGAAACCCGCACCAAGAGGAGTTCCTACTCAGCAAGCGGTTACACGTACAGTGAATGGCTGCGGGAGAGCTGGTTTTGCTTTTCGTAGTAACTATAGCGAATATACCGCCCCATGCACCCGAAGATTGTACTCCGATGCACGGTGTTTTAGTCTCTTCCACGCAATACGCCTCAATGTGTTTATAGTGAATGATCCGCTTCACCAACTTAAAAAAATGCTTCACCAGCTGTTCGTAAACTAAACGTCAAACAAAATTATCCTTGACAGTTTTGCTTTCAGGCAGATGAACGAGCACTTCGAAAAATATTGTTTTAAGATTGTTTAATATACAGGACATGCTTGACTATAACCACTCTTGACTAGGCTTCCCGCCGAGCAGTGCTGCACGACCCATATCGAACCGCGCCTACACGAAAAGGTTTCGAGCAGGTCAGATTCAGAGGACGTTTTACTAACCCGAAATTGCAGAATTTAAAACTAAGTATCCAAAGATTGAGTTTTCTTGTGAAGGATATAATACACAGTAAAGCATCGCCCTAGAACACGCGGACTACGCCCGCTGTCCACAATTAACAGGCATCTCTAATAAATATTCTAGCTAAAAATTACTGGAGTTTTGTTCCGTAAAATGCCTATGAGAATGATGAATTAAACATCCTTAAGACGTTGGAGAATTATTCATGCGGGTGAAGTAAAACATCTAGTATTCATATTTACACATTTTTGCACTTGACAAACGGCACAGTACGTTGACACTATATTATTTCTAGGAAAATGGTAAATCACTCTTCGGTCGTGTGGTCGAAAGTTTGGACGTACGGCGTCACGGGGCCTAAAATATTTTTGAGCGAAATATAATTTCTCTGCCGTCTAGCTGCACACATTTATAGTATGTCTCCCTTTTGGGAAAGTGAATCCCAATAAAAAGTTGGTCTTGAAATCCTATCGAACTAAATCCTCTACCTGTGGTTACGTTTTTGAACTGCACGTGTTATATTTTATCCAAGGAACATGACCATTGCGCGCAAAAACAATTGTAGCTTCAAACGAATGTTTGGGTACGCATACACAAAAGGAAACATTCACAGCAATGCCATGAAAAATAAACTGATTCATTCGTTAGAATTATTGTTTATTGGAAATTCTGTATGTATTTTAATGCAATGACGCAAAAAATTTCCGATGCAATTGTCAAGCATGATACATGTCAAAAACCGTGAGGGATCTGTTATCCCCTTAATGAAATATCACATTTTGGTAAATCCTCTTGCATATCTTTCTCGCAATCTCTGGTGCACTTTGCTTCGCGTGCCCACTCACCTGCACCCGCTGGCACTGGATGAGCGACTGCGTGTGCGTGAGGATGCGGAAGACCACGTGCTCGATGGTGCTTTGCTCCTCGAAGATCATGCGCGCCAGGTCCAGCAGCACCTGTGGGCATACGTGATAAACAGATAAGACACCCTCATCACGCAACATGAGAAATGCGAGTTGACCACGCTGACAAACAGCGTTTTCAATTTCGATTCTAACTTCGTATCAATTATTGGAATGTAATTTTCCTTACGTGAATCGAGCTCCCACGTGAATCTCTCGCCAGTCGAGCTTCCCGCGTGAATAGCTCGCCAGTCGAG